CTCATTGATAATAAGGTCAGTGCGTTCATCATTCTATCATTTCACATGTGCATTGTACGGAGAGAGATGGTTCTCGGATGTGATTGCTTCGATATGACATTGGTTGAAGTTGTCATGGAATTGTTAGATGTAATCGATGCTGACGATGAGTGTTTTGCATCGATTTGCTTTTGATTGCATTTGTAGTTTTGAGATGGTCGTTTCATTGAACCAATTATTGTATCACATTTTTGTTAATCTTCAGTTATCGCTACAAAAGGCTGAAAAAGACAAAGAGAAAGGTGATTCGGCTCCAGCAAAGAAAGACGACAAGAAAGAAGATAAGAAAGAAGTCAAGGAGGAGAAGGAAAAGAAGAGTGCTAAGAAGTCATAATTTTACGGAATTATCTGCTCGTAATCTTAAATTATGATGATCATGATAATGATAAAAACTGTTGTGTTCTTTCTCGTTTTATTACAGCAACTGTGTAATTTATTCAGTGGTTTCAGTATGCAGCAGTGAATCGCTTTGAATATTTTCTCGATTTTGAACCGATATAGGAGATGATTTGAATTTCCGTCATTTCGTATTAGATGATCTCTTTTCAAGTGGCCTTCAAGAATTGGCATAAATTGTTGTAGATCATGGTATTCAAACATCATATGAACTTTTTCGTTTGATTTTCAGTTGGGGAATGTTTTAGCTGGAAAATGAGTTATTTTTGGGGTAACTTTTTTGGTGTTAATATTAAGAAAGTCATGATTGATCAGTTTATAGATATTGCAATGTGAATGAATGAGTCGGTCTTCTGCTGTTTACTGAGGAGCACTTCGTAAAGTTTTGTTGGCGTTTTAGAATGTATTCGCGTGGTGTGAAAATTTTGAACTTTGATATGATATGAATGATTTTGTTTTATCTGAGGTGCGAAATGATCTTATCGATTGAGGTGTTTGACGAATATAATGGTAATAATAACGATAATGATTTGTATGAAGCGTTTGCTTTGTTCGTTATTTTTTACGGTTTGCTGAATTGAACAATAACATTTCTTTTTTTTTTCTGGAAGTTGTGATGGCATAGCGTCTTGTGTTGATCATACAACAAAATCGTTGTTGTTATCGTTGGCATTCAAATAAATGTTTTATGCGGAAGTGATTCTGTGCACCTAAGGGAAAACTTACAGAAATTACCTCAGGATTACATAAAAATAAGAAGTCACCTCCAAATTACATAAATATGATTAAGTTGATGAGCTATGAAAGGAGTTTATTTCATTGCATATCAAAAAATGAGTCAACTTTCATTTTTGGATTAAATCACTGCGGGGCGTTTGAGATTTTGCGAAAGTTTTCACCGTAAACTGTAAATTTGTGAGCCAAAGCTTAATGATTTTTTTTTGATGAACTGGAAATTGAGAGTTCTCGTCATTCATCTTCGGATTAGATTTGAGGTGAATAGTGATGTGCTCGTTTTGCAAACCAAATGTTCATAGACTGATCATTGCAGACATGCTTTATCAATCAAATGAAGCATGTCTACAATAAGTTGTTGATTGTTGGACAAGCCATTGTCCACATCCGAATATCCACAGAAATGGTATCGATTCGAATGCAGTCGCTGACT